ATGAATATCGCTGCTGTCAGAAGAAAACCTTGTATCTCCATTTTTGTCGTTTTTCAGTTTTTGACATATCCGAAAATGCCTGTTGGCCTTTACATTGTGTGTAAATTTCACGATGAAGGGACTAAAAGAAACGACCCAAAATGACTTGGAAAAATTTCTGGTTCCATTGACTTACATTAAAAATAAAATGTGTTCTTCCTTCTCCTGTAAAGTTACCATTGTGGAGATGTAAGGTTTTCTTCCAACAACAGCGACAAGGAAGTGCGTCACCATTAACAGCAACCAGCAGAAAGTGAAAGCATTGAAATGAAATGTTTAAATATGGATTTTCAGGCCTGAATATTTATAATCGTTGCAGGGGAAACAGGTTTGTTAATTTGCCATGCAAAATATCATGGTATTCTAAACAAATTATGGTTTCCTCAAAAATGTACCTCACATGCCACAATAATTTCCAAATACAAAGAAGCAGACAATCCACCGAATGTGAAAAGCCTGTATTTGATGACGATGTGTGTGCCGGCCAAAAATGTAGAATGACTCAACAGTTTTGTGCTCATCGTTGGTCTCTGCTACTGCTGAGTCCTCACAGCTGGCTTGGAGCTATTCCAGCTGCCTTGGTTTCTCACAGGAGCCGCCGTAATCACCAGCTTTATCTGTCTCCGCAGCAGCTGCGACCACACCCACCATTTACTGAGCATGGAGCTGCTTTCACAGCTTATTCTGGTATGTTCTGAACTTCAATGGATCACTGAAAAAATGAAGTCCAGCTTTCACTTTAAATACTTCAGAGAAACGTTCCAGAAGTAGTGGACAGCAATACTGACTGTCTGTGTGTTGCTAATTCCTGTTGTTAAAAATGGCTCTTATTAAAAGTGAAGGGACATTCAGAATAATATGCCATTGCTAACCTACTTAAGCAGCCAAAAGGGTTTTATTTGAAATAAATATAAGACATATATCGAAACTGTCAGTAAACTTAATTATACCATGATATACACGTTTGCCCATACCCCCCACTACTAATTTCCAGCATAGTGCACATTGGTTCTGCACTGATGAGCCCAACGTTTCATTAAATCTGATCTATAAATAAATATAACTCTTGTCCCTAATAATTAATTAAGTGGCTCATCAGGAAAACCAGGCACAGATACAACTAACACCATTTAAATCTAACAAACTGGTCGGGTATGTCAAGGACATGTATATGTCTAAGCTCTCACAAGCTATGAGGATGAGCTGGAATGAACTGGTTCAAATGATTTGATTATTGGTGAAATAAGTGGCTAAGACCATTTGTTCAACTGCCAACAACCACTTAAGATGTGCAAGATATATTCTTCTTCTCTGCAGCCTGAGCTTCTTCCCACTTATGCTTGGCTTATCCTTTCAAGAGTCTCCCTGAAATTCCACACATTCTGAGGGTGGGCCAGTCCATGCCAGCTGTCCAACTCTGGCACTGAGAACCTAGACTTATAACCCTGAAGATACACAGATCTGCTTACCATGCATGATGCCTGCCTGTTCTACGTCGCTGATGATCAACAAAGTGCTCCACTGACTGTTAAAGCTTGTGCTATGTTTGGGTCATCACTAGTAAGAGTGACCAGGGCTGAAAGATTATTGGTTTTTATATTGAAATCACAATTTAAGACGCAAGTGCTGCAAATTTTCTTTAATTATAGCCTACACTCTGAAGAAATACAGTTCTTCAAGGTTCTTAAAAAAAGATGGTTCTTTAGTAAAGACAGTCATTCTGTATAGAACCATGAACACTCAGACCCATTTGCATGCATGAAAAGTTCTCTGCATGGTGAAATGGTTCTTCAGATTGGAGATTGTGTTGTATGTGGTTCTGTACAGCATCAAAAAGGGTTCTGGTATTGTTACTTTGTTGCTTGTTGATGTCAAGCTTATAACAATACAAGAACAATTGGTCCTACAGAGAACTCTTTTCAAAAAGGTTCTATATAGAACCACATACAACACATTCTCCATCAATCTAAAGAAACATTTCACCACGCAGAGAAATTTTTACGCATGCAAATGGGTTGCTGAGTCCTTATGGTTCTACACAGAACCATTGTCTTTACTAAAGAACCCTTGAAGAGCCATATTTATTCAGTGTGTACATCAGCAAAAATGTTGTTCTAAGTTTTAAGAGGGGAAACGGAACCTAATAAGAGTTTGTGAACGGCCTGTAGGTGAGTTAGACCAATCAGAGGCAACCAAACCTCCATGTGTTGTGACATTAAAACCACAACTTACTGGCAGTTTGACACACTGCGTTCAGGGGTCGAGCCTCAAGAGAAAAAAGGTGGATGTTCTGATCTCACCGGCCAAAAAAATCAAAAAAATATTTGTTGGAAAAATCGTCATTAGATATTTTCCACAAATCGTTCAGCCTCACACTGAACAGTCATACTGGGACAGCCAAGAATGATATTTTTCAACACTAGAAGCCCAACAGCTTGAACCATGTAGGTTGAGAACACAGCCAGCCAAAAAGACATCAATAAACACCAGTTAGCACTGCCATTAGCTCAGTGTACATTCACTGAGCTACATTAAAATCAGCCTCTTAAAAAGAAACACCTCTTCTCTCCAGGCTCAAACTCCACCTCCCTACACACTGCAATCCCTGTTTGCTTTTTCGGGCGGAATCCCCTTTGACAAAGGGACTCTTTAGTGGGCCAACAGTAAAGCTTCTATACGGACTCATGAACTCAGGCATTCCATACACCCGTTTGGGTAGAGTTCTGAAAAAGCTATCAGTGGAAACGTATGCATTTGCACGGCACATAGCGCAGACCTAAATCCGCTCTCGAATGAAGAAAGTGATTTTAAGGATAAAAGACTAAAAGACTAAAAGACTGATTATAATGTACTACCAACCTGGCTCAAAGGCAGGAACGGTAACATCGCTCTCTGGTGTCACATGAGCATTTTAAACAGCCTGCAACTGTTTTATTTGACTGTTTGATTTTCCTCACTTTTAATATGATTTTGGCATGTTTTAGCTACGTCTCAGCAATTGTTTTACCTTTTATTATTCTTTTTATTCCTTTTATTTATTTTATTATTGTCAATTTATTGTTGCGCATGTTCTATTTCTTTTTATTTAATTAATTTATGTTTTGTATTAATTTGTTCCTTATCTGATGCTTGTTAAGTTACTATACTGTAATTTTAATGATTTATTGCTTAAACGGTTCTTATTATAAAATTTTACTATTATGATTTTTATTAGTTTATTATAACATTTGATTTCTTTTTACTACCCAACTTCTCAATCCCTGATCTCTGCATTGACTTGGCTACACTGTAAATGAGGGTCTCCCTCAATGTATTCTGAGTTTAAATAAAGGTTGATTGATTGATTGATTGATTGATTGAACACTGCACTTCACTTTTCAGATCACTACATTTCAAATACAACAAGGCCATGTAGCCAGACAGCCTATTTGGCTATCCTAACTTTTTTTTCAACTTGTATTTGCCTAAATATAATGCTGATAAACATAATAAACATACATTTTTACCATTTTGGCTGTAAATATGTCTCAGTATGTGCTGATGTTCTAGTATAGGCTAAAAATATAAAATAACCGAAATCGCAGATTCACTTTGCTCTGCTTTAAGTTTTAACTCAGCTAGCTGTAGCCGCTTTTCTCGCATCTCCAGCAGGAAACTTTTCCTCAAAAGTGAAGTAATTTCTTGTAAAATGTCTCTCAACGTTTGATTTTTATGAGGATTTAGTCAGATTCTCATTCGGCAGCTTCTTGTTCGAATTTTCCCGTTCCACCTTAAATGAAAATGTAACTGCTGCATAATTTAAGGTGGAACAGGAAAATTCGAACAAGAAGCTGGCAAATGAGAAGCTGACTAAAGCCTCGCGACTTTGTCTCCAAATTATCGATGCTCGTCTTAAATCTCTCTCTTTGCCGTTTCGTTAGCTACTAACTAGGCGAGATTGTTGTCTGTGTTGCTATGGTGACCAGCAGTCTGCGCTCATCTTCAGGGTTAAAGGGTGAATTAGCAGTTCTACATTAACTCCAGCGTTTAAGACCATTTATTGTTAAACTGTGTTGAACGATCAGCAGAGCTTTATTTTACTGTAAAGGAGGATTATTTTATTTTTACCCACAAATCTAATTCTGCTGTGGAGCCGCAACAGGGAAGTAAAAGAGCCACATGTGGCTCCGCATGTTGCCGACCCGTCTGAGCGAGATCACACCCTTGTTATACACCAGGAGAATCTATAACAGAAATCCAAACAAATTTTTACAGTCCTGATTAAAACCTCTTAATTCCCACTTTAATTTTTTTCTCATCTCTGTATTTACTTGAAAGGTGTTGCATGTATATCTTTTAATGGTATCTGACCATTTCCTCCAACAGCCTATAGGACATTCTTTCCACCTGACTGCTCACTAATCAGGCCGAAATCAAACATCTCCCCGCAGTCAACAGCCAAAAGAAACTAATGAGGAGTCTGTCTTAACAGCTTTTGAACACACTGTTTAGAAAACACTTATCAAAAATCTATCTGGAAACAGCTGAAGCTTGTGAAACAGTCTCAAAGACTGCCACTGCTCAGCCATGACATCATTATGTTGTGTCATCCTGTAGTTTCACATGAAGAGCCTAACTACTGAAATAAAAAGGTCTGGATGACTAATCAGACTGACGCTTGCTGTGTGTTTATCTCTGTGGCAAAATGTGTGGTGAACACCACAATGAAACTTCTGGCAGAGCAGAGCCTTAATCACGTTTCAAAAGACAACACGAGTCAGAACAGTACAGACCTGCCCAGACGGAATGCATTCAAATAAACTGAAATAAATGAAATCGCTAGCGTTGAATGAACTCCCACAGACACGAAAACGAGGAGCTTAAAGTCTTTGGGACTTTGTTCAAAGCAGGTGATTTGAGGGTGAACTCTGAGGCTCACTTGGGTAGAAACGCTCCACTATGAAGTGACAAAGTGTGCGTACCTGGCGTACTTTCCCTGATGATAGTGGGTCGTTTCTTAGGCTGGATCTTCCGGAACTTCCCTTTGAAGTCTCCAGGTGTGAACATGTCCATGGAGAGGTTGGCCATCTGGACAAGGACGATGCTGTCCTGGCTCTGGGTGTCCCAGGAGTCCTGCTTGCTTGGCACCGCGTCTCCAGTATTGCCCTCATCTTCTTTAGACATATCCGATACCAGGCTGACGGAGAGCAATCACGTTCACTCGCTCGACAGCATGGATCCGGCAGTTCAGGCTGACTTACTCAAGAGACTCGGTCTTTCTTTCAGTTTTCCTGTTTTGTCTTTTGTCTCTTCTTTCCTTTAGTAATCCTCAAGGCTCATATTCTTCCTCTCCTCTGGTTATGGAACAATGGAACACTTTCTTCCTTTCCTTTTCGCTGGTTGAGCACAGGAAGATATGCCGTGTGAAGGAGTGAAGCAGGCTGGACGAGCCTGACTCGGCCCCAGACGTCCGTCAGACAAGTGAATGTGTTGTGAAGCTCGCGCTATCGCTGGTTGAGGCTGTTTAGCCAGTTACAGTAAGGCCACTGAATGGGGCAGGTGTAGGATTACTCAAGGCAGACCCGCCTCTTTTCACAGGCACAGAGGAGGGGCAGGGGGGACTGGGTGAAGACAAGTAGGGTGAAAGTGAAGTGGATTTGTCTGAGGTTTTAGGTGCTTCGCTATGTGATAAACAAACTCAGTGTTTATATAACGAAGTGAGACAGAGAGGAAACGTCCTTATGTCACCTTGTTCTAGTCTGAAGCAACACACACCTATTGAAGACTTACATCTTCTTGCCAACAATAAACAGCAGTGTGTCTCTTCTCAGCGTGTTGCTCGAACGGTTGTCAAGACACCACATCCCAAGAGTGCGACTCCCAAATGTCCAAGTTTCACAAACCACAAACATTTTTTACTCTCTGTACAAATCAGCACCACCATCACCTTAAAAAACCCTTTCCTTTTATAACACTTTCCAGAACCTTCTAAAGGTCCTGGATGGGATGTGTATTTTAGCCTACCTTTAATGACATTAAGCCTAACAAACAGCCTTCCTGTTCCCTGACCTACACACGTTGCTGGGTTCGTGAAGTAACCTTTTTCAAGGCCGGCATAGAAAGAGGCACCTTATTCTCTGTATCTCCTGGGCCCTGGCAGCAGCATGGCTCAAAAGACAGAGAGAAAGAATGGAAGCAAGGGGGGGAAAAAAGTGAGACAGAAGCTGACCACTCCCTCAGGAGAACACAAAACATTTCTTTCTCCTCTCGCTTCCGTCCAATAAACAACACGAACTGATCCCAATCCGAAACCCGCTGACTCCTCACCCTGAGGCCCTGCGAGGGCATCTGATCCTAAAGAGTGTGGTAGTTTCCTTTTTGGAAGTATCTGTCTGGTAAAAGGGGAATTTCACCATTTTTTTTTTATTTCTGCATGATTCTATCATTAAGAAGACATAAATAAGCAAGAAAGTGATTTGGTGTGAAATTCACAGTGATGGTGATAGAAACCAGACGCCTAAGGTATTCAATGCCTCTAAAAGCTACCTGATGGAAAAGATTACATGAAATGTGCTATGATGTGTTGCCTGATGTCTGAAACATTGTTTTATATTAGTTTTGTTGTAAAACATTTTTTTATGCTCATGGGTTTATTATCTTTCAAATTATTCAGTAACTGCATCAAATACATGTAATTTCTTTTTTTGTAAAAATTTTCCCTCGAATTAACAGAACGTGTTTTATGATCATACATATATTGCTATATGCTTACAATTTACTGCTGAAAGCCAAAAATCTTAGACGCTCTTTGATTTTTTTATAAAAATCATATTTACAAAGCAGATCACTGAGATCCAGTTTGTAGCTCAGATTTGTGGAAAAATGGGTCAAATTTCAGTAGAAAAAAAAATTGTGAGTTCAGCTTCTTTCATTATAAGGGTTTAAAATTACATTACGCATCTATTTGACTGGAAAGAAGACAGTTACAGCTCTCATACGACCCCCACCTTTAGAATGAAGCTTATAAAATATGAAAGTTATGAAGTAAAGAATATCACAAAGTGCGTTTTGGAACCACTGGTGGTTCCAAGGAGTTAAAAAAGGTTAAAGCCATTCACAGTGGAGAAGTACATACAAGGTGTTGTAAAGCGGTAGCCTACCGATATTTATTTATCACTATTTTCAATTATCAACATTACATATAAAAACCTGTGTAGGTTCACTGCTCGTTTTGGAGAGTAAATAAAATGGCTATATTTGCATGGCAGACATCATGACTCTTGGTTCCTATCACCACTACTGTAAAGAAATCGGTCAGTAAGTTTCTCTACTATGATCCATTTTATACCAAATGACTTTGTTTACATTACAACCACTGAATTATGCAGACATTTTTAAAACTCTGTGGAGTTCCCCTTTTATTTTGACATAATTAAAAAAAACAAAGAACAAAACAATCCAATCAAAACAAGCTATGTCAAATTCATACAACTTCTGTGTAGCATAGAGTAGCAGAACTCAGGAAGCATGCTTTATTAATGCAAACATAGTTATCATCAAATGCCATTTGGGAAAATGATCACAGTACCACTATCACAGTAATTATGGTCTGCGGCAAAAATCCAAGTGATTCTGTGCAAATGTTTTGTCTGCATCTGCTCCTTTGGTCTATATTTGAACTGGTTTATTTAGTTATTAGAGGAGAATTGAGCACAGTACTCCCTTAGGAACCAGACACAACAGTCTACACAGACCAGAGTGAAGACACACTGCATTACTGGGGCACCGCAAACAGAACAACAGTACAACATAATCTCCCTCACATACGCAGTTCAGCTACTGAGAATGAGAGACCCACAAATACATCTACTATTATACTATTATACTACGACAGGGAGCATCTAATGAACAAGGAACTACTCGCTAGTACTTACACACAAACACACACACACAAATGTATATCTCCCACCCACACTTACACTTATGGCCTCTCTCACACACACATACACGCACAGCAGGCATGTCATGGGCACACCCATTCATTAGAGCTAACTGGTAAACAACCATGAGAGTGGGCTTCATCCCCACCCCTCCCGCCTTCTTCCCCACACACACACACACACACAAAATGCACTGTCTGCCCATAAATAACATGGACAAAAAATACATACACCCTGTCTTTCACACAAACAACATAACTGATTCGCCTCCTTCTCACCTAGACCGGCAGGAATGACTCATTAAACAAGCTTTCAGGGCATCAAACTGCCCAAACAATCAGTGACACACATTGACACACATTAACATTCCAAAGCAGGCCGTTGGCGTTTGGCTGACGAAACTGTGGATGGTGCAAGAACTTGCAGCAACCTGAAACAAGTCTTACAGTTTGGAAAAAGCGAGGAGGGACCCCGTCTTGCTGATCTATCTGATGGCTTATTAAGCTTAGCTGTTAACCTCTTATTCTCCAGGGTATATTTTGGTTTGTCCATCTGAATCTGCATGACCGAATCGTAAGGCAAATTATTCAGTAACTGCAAGAAATAAATGTACATTTTTATTTTATTTAGTTTTTTTGTTAAAGCTCCCCTAAAATTAACAGAACATGTGTTTTATGATCACACATAATGCTATATGCTTAGAATTTACAGATGAAAGCCAAAAATCTTAGATGCTCTTTGTATTGTTTTATAAAAATAATGTTTACAGAGCAGATCACTGAAGAGACGCCATCTGTTTATAGTTTATAGCCCAGATTTGTGGAAAAATGGGTCGACTTTCAGTAGACAAAAAAGTTCAGCTTCTTTCATTATAAGGGTTTAAAATTACATCACCCATCTATTTGACTGGAGAGAAGACAGTTACAGCTCTCATACGACCCCCACCTTTAGAATGTAGCTTATGAAATATGAAAGTTATGAAGAATATGACGAAGTGTGTTTTGGAACCACCGGTGGTCTCAAGGAGTTGAATACCTGTTGTGTATTAACACAGAAATGAACTGCTGTCTGGATAAGCTGCGTTTTATGCCATCAATTTATCCATTTATTGCCCATAAAAAAGGTTTATCTATGAAGCAAATCACTCCGGCCCTAATTAGCTCTCTTTTGTTCTTTTGTATGTAGGCTGCTCGTCTATTTCTAGACGGTGAAGTGATCTCGCTGCCGGTGGGAACAGCCATCCCAAGGACATTTGCCTAAATGAGTTCTGTGCACATGTGCGGTGTGAGTGGAACAGAGCTAATCCGTGATCAAGACTCTAGACACTTTTATAAATGAGAGGAGGAAAAGCTGTTATTAAACATATTTATACCATGGTTACTGTTCTCTTCCAATCAGTTTCTGTGATATTAGAGAGAAGATAACAGTATATAAGTGTAAGACTGCCCTCTAGTGGCCAACAGCAAGAACAAACTTGCACTGCACCCTCCTCATTATTCCCATTGTTCAAATATCACAGCCAAGCAAAGAAAGCATTCAACGGAAAAGCAGACATTCGCATTGTTTGAAGGTATTTACATAAAGATAAATACAAAAAATAACAAAAATATTCTTTATTTATATTTTATAGTAGTTTGCATAATTTTCTGTTGATGGAAAATTGTGCATAGCTGGCAAGCAAGTGCCAGGTAATTAGAGATAAAGGGAAAGCCCACTGACAGTGAGAGCGTGGGCAGACATGTTGATGCTAGCTGGCTACACACGCTACTGCCAGACACCAGCACAAACAGAGCTCCCCAAGGAGAGCAAAAGCAAAGACAGTGAGCTGGGGAAGGCAATGGAAAGAGAAAGAGAGAGAGAGAGAGAGAGAGAGCTGTGCCATGTTGCTATGACTAAGCCCCCCCTCATTTCTGCAGCAGCACATGCATGGCCTCTCATGCTTGATTAATAATTCATACAAGCCCAAGTTTATTCTCCCAGCGCTTTGGGAAAAAAAGCCATCCCTGAGGCATAGAGAAAGGAAAGGAAGAGATAGTGGCAGAGAGATGGAGAGAGGCCTCTGAAAACCTATGTATTCCGACTGATGGACATGAATAGAGACAGGGAGATCTGTAAGAATAGATGGGCAGTTAATGGGTCATCCTCTAAAAGCCTGTCATCACAGCTCCAGAGATCCAGCACAGGACACAACCATTCAATTCTAAATTCCGCCTGCTGAAAGTGGAAAAATACACCCTCAGACAT